GAGCTGCCGCCCCACCGGCCCTCCGTGGAACTGCTGCTCTCTTTTTTCTTCTTCTCTCTGTATTTTTACTTCAGTAGTCTCCCAGCAGGCCCTCGGGTAGCGCGTGGTGCTGTGCAGCGGTTGATCGCGCGGGGCCTGGTGGGGCGAGAGCTGTCCGTGCTGGGGGAGGGGAGGGACACCAACGGGGGGAAGAGGAGGGTGGCGGGTACGCGCATCGCGCCCTGCGCTTTCTGAGGAAAAACAAAGGGCTTTCCTCTGGCAACGTTCGGTTACCAGAATGAGCCCAGTGCAGCAAGTCCACAAACAATGCAAAATAAACCGGGCTGCAAGAGGATGCTGCATTTCAGTTCATGCATTTATCTTTGCAAGGTAATATAGACTGAGGCTACTAGGGTGACAACAAACTAGTTTCTGCCACTGTTTTACGGTTAATCCACAACCAAGCAACATTACTCATGGGTAAATAAGTGTATTGATAGATAACTGTTCAGTTTTGCTGTAGTACAGCAAGCTAACAAATTGTGCTTCTGGTTCAAAGTTGTATGCAAATAACACCCATAATTTAAAAAAAATAAAAATAAAAATGCAAGACGACAGGATCAGGAAAGATTCCAGTCATTTCCATTTTGTTTACTCTGTGAACCTGACAGTTCTTTGGGTGAACAAGGTATTAAAAATTAACTGACTCACTGCGCTTAGGTCTGAGTGGCTTGTGGTGGCAGTCCTTGCCTTCACCAAAACAAGCTGGCTTAGCAGGACCTGTTAGTCACATTGTTTTCCTGCACAGCTGAATATAACAGAATATATGATCAAAATGTTTTCTTGTTCTTGTAGGAAGGCAGACAGCTTCCCATGGTACTCCAAACAGCAACGGAGGACAGAAGACTCTTAAAACCATGTTAATTACCAGAAGTGGCAAGCCTGAAGAGCATCTGACATATTACTTTTCATTATTGAGTCACTTTGGGGCAAGGAGCTGAATGAAGCCAGAGGTCCACGCTGAGGTGGTTTTGTGCTGGTATCTCTGAATAAGCCCCCCAGCTCCCTTGGAACTGCAGGTGACTGGGGAGCGATGCCCATGCGGCCCCTAAGCAGGGTCACAGGCTGGGGGCTGGGCTGACCCAAGGCTCATTAAT